TTTTAGTCTGCAGATTTATTAGTTGGAGACAGTCATGTGTCAAATCTTCTCTAGGTTCCCCATATAAAAATTGGGCAGGATTCTGAATAGAGGTTGTTTCTACTTCCAACCTATGGGAGTTAATTAAGATTCCTTCATAATTTAGCAATCAACTGTCTGTAAGCCACTTATCAGCTCATTGTTGCAGTACTCCTCATATATTATGGTGGGGTGAATACCTTTAGTTCACCTCCCAAGGTGACTTTTCCAACTTCTTCTACCAATAATGCAGCAGCCACTATTGCTTGCAAGTAAGTGGGCCACCCGCGACGTACGGGATCCAGTATTTTAGAATAATATCCTACAGGCTTTCTCTGCCCTGCCCATCCTTGGGTTAGAACCCCATAAGCTGTCCCATTATCCACGTTGATAAAAAGTTGGAAGGGTTTACAGATATCAGGTAAACTGAGGACAGGTGCGTCTGTCAGGTCTCTTTTTATATTCTCCCAGCACTCCTCATCTTCAGGGGTCCATTTTACCTGCCCGTTCTTCGTTAATTTTTCATACAAGAATTTTACTGCTGTAATTTTCTATCCACTGTCGACAATACCCTAATAATCCTAATAACTGTCTTATCTGCCTTTTATTAGCGGGCGCTGTTAGAGACAGAATTCCTTTTACTCTTTCGGGGTCTAATTTCTTGTGTCCCCTCGTGAGCCAATGCCCCAGATATTTTACCTCTTCCTGAGTAAACTGTAATTTGGACTTGGAAATTTTTAATCCCTTGAGGCCTAAAAAGTTCAACAATTTGATACTCTCACTCCTGACTTCTTCTTGAGTTTTTCCAGCAATCAATAAGTCATCCACATATTGTATTAGAATCAGTCCCTTACTCAATTCATAGGATTCCAACAGCTGTTCTAGAGCTTGTCCAAACAAGTACGGGGATTCTGTAAATCCCTGGGGCAAAACGGTCCATCGTAATTGTTGTTTCCTACGGGTTTTGGGGTCCTCCCATTCGAAAGCAAAATAGTCTCTACATTTTTCTTCTAAGGGACAGGCCCAAAAGGCATCCTTTAAATCTATAACACTATACCATTTATAATCCGGACTTAACTGATTAAGTATAGTGTGCGGGTTGGCTACCACAGGGAATCGGGTAATAGTTCGTTCATTTACAGCTCTCAGATCTTGCACTAGGCGATAGGACCCATCCGGCTTCTGTACCGGTAATATGGGTGTATTGTGAGGGGACATATAGGGTTCCAAGAGGCCTTGGGCTAAAAGTCTCTCAATTACTGGCTGCAACCCTTCTCTTCCTTCTCTGGAGATGGGATACTGTTTTATCCTAATTGGCTGGTCGGGGTCTTTTATGAAGACTGTGATTGGTTTGATATTCAGTTTCCCCACCGACCCTGGACTGTACCAAGTTTCTGGGTTAATCTTGGCTTCATCTTCTGCGGTCAATAAGCATAATCTCACTTAATTTTTCCTTATCTACTTCCAAATTGATTCCTAACTCTACCATTAGGTCTCATCCTAGAAGATTGTACTCAGCTTCTGGGACCAACATCCTATTCCATATTTATTCAGAGCTTCTATTGCTACATTCCTTACCAAGGGCACCTTGAAAAGTTCCCCTTTTGCACCAATTACTTGGAGTTTATCTTTTGATTCAATACACCCAGATGGTAATTGTTGGACTGTTGATCTTTTGTCGCCCAAGTCCACAAGGAACTCAAACACTTCATGCTGGGGACCCAATTTTAATTTTATCAAGGGCTCAGTAACCTTGGGGGTCCCCAGTAAATAGAGCCCCTGACCCCCCCTAATCTTCCTTAAAAACTTCCTCATCCTGCATTCTTTGCCGACAGTTTCTTTTTAAGTGTCCCTTTTTGTGACAATAAAAACATTCTATGTCGTGCGGGTTCGATCTCTTACTTCTTTAATCTACTGGGCCCTTTCGGGGATTCTCTTTTCTCCTGTCCCGATTTTGCCCTTCTCTCACAGCTGTCATAAGGATTCTGGCCTGTTTCTTTTGGCTCTCTTCTTCTCTTCTTACATATACCCTCTGGGCCTCTCGCAATAATTCATCTAACCCTTTGTCTTGCCAGTCTTCTATCTTTTCTAATTTTTTTCTTATATCTGTCCAAGATTTCGCTACAAATTGAGTTTTCAGCAGGGCCTGACCCACTGGGCTATCAGGGTCTAACCCGCAGTATAACTGTCAACTTTTTCTTAATCTTTCTAGCCATTCGGTAGGGGTCTCATCTTTCTTTTGTTGTTCATTAAAGGCTTTATTAATGTTTTGCCCCCTGGGTACAGAATCCCTAATTCCCTGAATTATCGTATCCCGGAGATCAACCATGTTATTTCTATGTGCGGGGTCTTGGTTGTCCCAATTAGGCCGCTGTAGGGGCCATTTTAAATCTCTGCTGGGACCATGCTGATGTCTCTGATCCCAATGCCTCATGCCCACTGTTCTGATCATTCCTCGTTCTTCGTTTGTGAACAAGATCCTTACAATAGATTCCATCTCATCCCAAGTATAAATGTTAGGGCCAAGGAATTGATCAAAACGTTCTGCCACACCCAATGGGTCTTCTAACAAGTGCCCCATTACTTTTTTAAATTCCCTCATATCCCCGGAGCTGTACCAATACAAATCCAACTCCGGGTTGTGGTCCCCCCATAGCAGTCTCCCTTAATGGATGCAATAAATTTTCCGCCCCTCTTTCTCTGGTTTGGCTTCTGGTTACTCTCTGATTGGGAGGAGCCTCTTCCTCAGGTTCTGAGGGGGCTGATGGAGGGGGATCCCACTCAGGATCTTGTGTTGGCAGGGGTGGTGGAACATAGTGTGGGGGAGATGCTGGAGGTTCGTCTATATCCCACCTTTTCTTCCTATCATTTTTCTTTTATTTTAATGGATATAAATTAGTGGTCTGAGTTGTGTCCAGAATCCATAAAAAAGGCATATTCACTCTCCTCCTTGTTAAATGGTTGTTTGTTGTTAACATATGTGTTTAATTGTTGGCATATCCAATCCTCAAAAGATCCGTAAATTGGCCAATATAAATATTTTCTTATCTGTTTTCCTCCCCATATTTCCATACAATAATAGACCATTTTCTCCCTGGACTTCCCTTTTCGAGAAGGGGAACTGTCCCAATATTGGATCATTAGGCCTAACGGGCTATCCGGGGGTATATCGAGGAGCCCACCCCCACCCCGTTTCTCCTACATGGAACCAGAAGCCTTACTCTTCTTCTTTCCCATCCTCCGAGAGTGCCTTCTTTCACTCAAAATTCACTCACTTCCCTCCATTCGTGGCCCACGCCCTCGCGGACAATGGGAACCGCACTATTAGGAGGTCCACACTCAGTTCGCCAGGTGGACTACTAAGTCCAGTGGACGTGTCAGTCACCTGCACCCTGGGTACCCAATCCCCGACCGAACAGAACCGCAAAATACTTACTCACCACCGAGTCTTTGTCTGGCTCTTCGTGCACAAAAATTATGGGGAACTGCAGTATCTTTTTTCTTTTTGCTTTCCTATCTCAGTTCGGAAAATCCAGGTGAGCTAAGTTGAAATCTCCTCTGGGACCAATCCAGAGATGGGGCATCCTCCCAGAGTTGAATTCCGAATCAGCTGTCTGGATCCGAGTCACGGCACCAAATTTGTTATACTTGAATTGAGACAAATTGAGTCCAACATGGATTTATCAAATATAAATCCTTTATTAAGGTAGGAAAGCAAAAGCAGCGCTGGGCGGCCTGGGAGTCACAGCTCCACTAAGGCTTGTAAATTCAAGCAAGCTGAGCAACCCTTTTTATTCTCGTAGAGGTCGATTTCAATATCTTCGGTACGCCCCTCTACTTCTTCCGTGATCGTGGCTTTTTCCGTCTTCTTCTTGCTTCAGGCAGTTTCAGTAAAAAGGTCAGCAATAAATTTGGCTTATGCAAACATTCTTCTTATACAGTTAATTGGATCAAGGTTTAAACAAAGGCACATATTGCTATGGTAACATAACATAGCGGTTTTACTGATTGCTTAAGATAACACATTTCTATAGTATTGTGGTTTAACTCTTATCTAAACAGGATGTCCCCATGTCTGGTACAGCGAGAATGTTTTTCTTGCTTCACTTGTCTGATCAGCAAATTATCTCTGGTCACTTATTACAGGAATAATCAGATCTTTAAACAGAATTGGGAGCTTGTGGTTTCTGGATTCTAGCTGTTGAATTTGTCTTAGCCTTACTGTCTATATTTGATGACTGCTGTTCCTGACACTTAATATAAGCTCTGAAAAAACTCTGTGTGACAGATCTGCTATCCAATACAGCTTTTGAAGTGGGGAGGAAGTTTAATGAAAGGAATGTCTTTTGTCTCTCCTCTTTCTTGCCGGTAATCATTGCTTCGTGGCTGTCTGTAACCAATCACTGTGATAAATCTTTTAGTTTGAGTGTATCATGACTGCCGTAAGACAGCTTGTTTAAGGGATTTTTGTGTTATACAACTGGTCTGCTTCAAGATAAGTAAAAGTAAGATGGCAGATAAAAGACTGTTATGATTACTTTTTTTTTTTTTCCCAACCCAAGAAACTTCCTTCAGGAACATCTCCAGCAGTCCTGAAAACAGGAGAAAAATCTGTCTAGGTAGAACAGGAGTGCTTTAAACTTTGTAAGTTAAAAGTGCCATGCTCTGATCATAATAGTGTAGCCACTGTTAAATGAGAGAAGGAAGCTGCAGAAATAGTAGTTACACAGTTGGAAACATCCTTGTAGAAAGCCAGGCTGGATCGCATGGCAGTAAAATGCAAGTGTTTAATACTGAAAAAAAATACTTGGATAATTTTCTCTAGAAGCTTAGTTGGGAAGAAAATACTGTAATGTTAAGTGTATTCAGTAACTGCAGGGAGTGAAGAAGTTAATATAATTTTTTTTTTCCACCAGATAGCTGTGTTTGAAAAAATTGAGCTTTAATCCCTTGTGTTAATAACCATGTGTTTTTTTCTCTAGGTAACAGATGATGGCGTTGTAGCACTAGTGAGTGGAACATGTTCAGAGAATTTAAAGGTAACAACCTGATAAATAAATTAACAAAAGCAAATACCTACATTTTTAAAATATTATTATTATTATCAGTATTACTTCAGAGGGATGGTTTTTATTGACTGACTTTTGTTTGTGTATGCACTTGCCGTGATTTTGGTTATGAATTGAATATTTTCTGTCTCTCTGTAGCAGTGCCTCAGACCAGCTTTTTGAGAGCCTCAGTCTTTTCAAAATGAGTTCTCTTCTATTGAATGTAGTATGTTTATTTTAACATGTTGTTTTAGAGAGCTGTATAATAAATGCAAATGAATGATTAACTTTTTCTCTTGATTTTTTTGGAGTTATTTCTTGATTCTGTTGAACGCTGAGACAGAGTTTGTAATGTTTCATGGATTTAAGAAATCAGTTAGCACTTCTGTGTAGGTAAATCTCTAAGTCATTAAAGCAACTGTGAAAGCGAAGTTGTCTTTGCATAAAGATTCTCTAGGCATTGAGACAGTGACAGAATGATGGAGAAGAGGCATCCCATGTCTCTTACCATAAATGATCATCTACTTTTCTATATAGTACATTTCTTATCTGTGTGTGTGTTTTTGCTTTTGTGAAGGCTGTTTTTGAATCCAAGCTATTAATCTAGAAACTAAGATTGGAAACAAGTCATACTTTTGCAAGTTTATAGTGTTTAAAAAAAAAATCCTAAACAAAATACCAGTATTTTTTACCTGGTAGTATTAAGAACCTGGAAAAAATAGAACTGTTATTGTTGTATTTGTAGGGCAAACAGATCTGGGTTTGTTTTTTTCCAGCTGATTTTGTTATTCTGACAATCCTTTTAGTCTTGATAAGTTTTGTGGTACAAGACGAAATTATTATTTGTCAGACCATAGCAATGAGAGATCCTTTTTTATGTACCAGAAGTTACTTGAAAGTATCTTTTAGATAGTTACACCTTTAGCTGTAGCAAAACATTGACTCCAGATTTTCTAAACAACCCTCAGACTATGCGGGTAGTCTTCATAAGATACCTCTCCTATCCAGCCTACAAATGTAAAGCAATGTCTATCACTGTGATTTGGATTAGGTGATCTGGACTAGGTCAGTCTCAAGTCCTCAGTGTATATGTCTCAAACCACAAATATTGTAATAAGTTTTCATAAGTTTATTGTAGTAAGTATGGGTTTGCTATTGAGAGGAGCGGTGTTCTGTAAAGTTCCTGAAGGGTTCCTAGAGGGTTTTGAACTATTTTCCAGCAGTGTTGGTATAATTAATCTGTCAGTATTGTCTTCCCTCTAGTGTGTTATTACTGCCCACAGTTCACAGAGAATTATATTGTTGTGTGTAAGCCCTTTTTCTTCAAACCATAGAAACACAGTTCCATTTATTTTTAATAAACATTTCCAGCTTATGATATGTAGCCTTTGGTGTTTCCTGGTCACATTGCTGTAGTTACTATTTCTTTGAAAGGGCACAGGCTTTCTTTTGTGAGTGCTGCTCATGAATGCCTATGGAAGCTGTAATAGATGAGGAAGAACAAGTTAGGTAGCTTACATAAGACGTGTTTCATCTATAAGTGTTGAAGAAAATAATGTCGAGGTGGTGGGCTTTGATTTCAGAAGAACTAATGGGAAATTTCAGTCATGCCAGACTGAACAGTGATCTGGATTTTGCTTTTTCATTTTCCTGTGCTTAATACTTGTTTCCACTTTCTTAAAAGCCATGTATTTAAGTACTTCTGCATCTGGTTTTTTTGGGCATGGGGTTTTTTTGTTGGTTTGGGGGTTTTTTTGTGGGGGAGGGGGGCTGTACAGTTTTAATAAGGCAAAATTGAATGGTTTTGTGTGGAATTACAATTTTAAAAACAAAACTTGTGTTCTATCAGTATAAACAGCTAGAAGGGTTTAGGTCTCTTGGTTTACAAGCAGTCAGAAAAAGATATTTAGTAGAGAATATAGAATTATTTGCTACAATCTCTTCTTCAGTGTAACTCTTCCTTGTCACAGTCTTCATACCTCTGTTTCATATCATCAGAGTGAAAATTTATAGACAGGGATCTAATGTCAGGTACACAGTGAAAAAAAGCAAGATCTTAACATTCTTAACTAACTGGCAGGCAGACTTCTAGATCTTTTTACTTCATTCAGAGGCATTCAGATTCCACATTTCACTTATTAAAATGAACTAAAAACTACACATATATCAGGTTTTGTATATCTTGCTTCTCTGAATACAATCGTCATTTTCTGTATCATCATTCTGTACAAGGTTGCATTTATTACAAAAGGTCCCTTTCATTTCTGTGTTCCTTCAAGACCCTTGGATTTTATCATTTGGGAGGACACTCTTTTCACAATAAAACAATGGTTTGGGGTTTTTTTTTTTGTTTTTACCCCAGGATCCCCGAAGTATATTTCCCCAAGTCCTATTTTCATTAGATTTGATAGTGTCTTTTCTGCATTTCTTGTATGTTATATTTATTGATATGTAAGGCAGTTTAGAGGGAAAAAAAAAGATGGTAATAATCTGTTAATTTGTTCTGAACTTATTATTTCTTTAGCACATACAACAGGTACTAATTATACAACTGCAGAGAAATGAAGAAGAGAGCAGGTCTTAGTCCAGTCTTAGAAGAAGTTCTTCGACTTCTTTTAGGAACTACATAGACATATAGATAGATAGATATGAGGAACTTCAGCAGAGACTCATGAATCCTGCCTGTTTTGGGAAACCCCAGAGTTCAGTTTGGATTCTGTTCTCCTGGAAAACAAATTGCTGGAAGAATGTGTGTCACAGGAAAAGTGATGGGACTCAAACACTGTAGAATCTAGTTTTCTCAGTTGCCTTGAATGGTATATGTGTTTCAGGAAAACCCAGGTTTATGTGTTTAGTTTTGACTCTTCATAGAAAAGCTGTCTTATTTTCGTGGTCTGTACAGGACCACATACAGGGTCAGTGCACAGAGGAGCAGTGAACAGGTCATAATTTCTTCTGGGTGGGGATCTCTGGAAGTGGTTGGGTAAAGGGAAGTTCTGCTTCCAAAACTATGGCTGCTTTGACAGGCTTTCGGTACTACTATTTTCGTAACAGGAGATACACATGGAACGCTGCGTGAATCTGACCGATGTTGCTGTGGAAGCAGTCCTTACTTGTTGTCCAAAGATACACATTTTTCTGTTCCATGGATGCCCATTGATAACAGGTAAGTCAAATAATGCAGGGAGTAAGAAGGGTAATTACTTCCTGATAGTATCTTTTTCTTGTTGTCTGGAAAAGCACACTATACTTTTTAAATAATCCCAAACAAATAATAACTTCCTAAATAAAATAATAATCATACACTGAGATTTTCAAAGCAAGGTGAGAGTTTTGCTTTAAAATATGGCAACCTGCAGAGAAGAATTTTTTTGTTGTTTCAGAGTTTGTTTGTTTGGGTTTTTTACCCCCTCAACATACTGATGAAGACCCAAAGTTGATGATTAGACTTCAGGAAAACATGTTAGCATCTTAAACCCCTACTCTGTTCCAAGTATGGAACAGCATCCATTTGAGAAACAGTGGAATGGAGTAGGAATGGTCAGCTTGAAAAAAACCCCAAACTTTAGAGATGTTATGATCTATCTTGTTGGATTTTTTTTAAGTTCACTTGGTTGGTGATGCTTTACAGTTACGTGATTGGAGAAAGTACCAAGCAGTTTTGAATTACTGCAGGTATATCTGAAGTGTGATATTGTAGTAGGAAGATAAACATACATGCAGATATATAATTGAATTATTTTTCTGTTTACCTAATTTCTAAATACCACCTATACATATTCTGAATGAATAACAAGAAATTCCTTGGTTCTTTTGTAGATCGTTCCCGAGATGTTTTAGAGCAGCTAGTCATATCAAACAAAATCAAGCAAGTAACATGGACTGTTTACTGATTATTTATCGTGTACGTATGAGTGTAAAGTTTACAGATGGGAGAGCTCTTTCAGAAAACAAGCACCTTGGAGAAATAGCTGGTGACTTTTGGTGACCAGATTGCTTCCCTCCTTGTTCCCACCAGAGGTCTCCGTCGCCATTCCAGTCTTTGCCTGTGAGTCTGGGCTTCCCCATTGTGTCTACTTAGAGCCCTGTCTGTCTTTGTGTCACTGATCATATTTCATTAAGAGGAAAGTTAAACTATAATTAATATTACACTGTCATCACTCAGCCTCCTTGAAGTATCAGATTTGGCTACTGCTTAGCATCTTTTAGCATCTTAGCTACATATGCAAATCCAATTTAAGTAAGTCTCTGTTCTGAGTTTGTAGTCTGAGAGGGTAGTTGCAAATAAAAGTACCAAGCCCAAACCTATTACTGACATTTATGCAGAAGTGTCTGTAAAGTTGGGACTTTCATCTGATAAAAGTCAACAGACAGAACTGGTGAATGGAGTTGGCAATAATTGCAATGCAAATGTATTTGAAATAGTAACAGTCTCCTTTCACCGTGCACTTTTGCTAGGTCTGGAAAAAAACTGTAGGTACCTTTCTTTTGATGTTACTGATGCTGCGGGTTTCTGTTTTTATTTACCACCAAATACTTGCTGGATTTTTACATATCCAAAAGTACAGTCTGTGAACATGGAAACATAAACTTGCTTTGAAATTGTTGTGGTGATTTAACAAATTTCAGATTAGTAGCTATGACCAATAAAAGAATCTTGTATATGGGCAGATAATTATTTGCTCTGGCTTTTCCCTATGTTCCTGCATGAAAATCCTTTTGGGGAACAAAACATTGGTTCTCATGATTGTAGCTGTGAGTGAAATAGGACCAAATTTAGTGTCTGAATACATGAATCTCAGGATGTAGAGTTCAGCAGAGTATGTGTGCTACTGTATGCAACTTATTATATCTCCAGTGGCCCCCAGAAGCTGAAAAGAACAATGATTTATATATTGTTCAATTGTAGACATATTAAAGAAAAAAAATTAGAAGTGTACAATGGGTTTATTACATGATGGAGCAGTGGTCTCCTCACAATCATGCTCATTGGCTTTCTTAAAAAAGCATAACCTCTAGTGAGATTTCTGATTTCTACATTAAACTTTTTTAAATGCTAGCAATTTTAGCATTATATGGACCAGGTAGCACACTATGTTAATACTGATACTCTGCATCTGGAAGCAACAGGGTTTAGCTAGGGTGGTCTCGCATGGATCTGATGGCACTTAGAAACCCGTGAGTTTAGGCGACTGTAAAGAATATGTCTACCTTATAATTTAACACTTGTCATATCCACACTCATTTTAAGTGTTGCAGAAGTAAACCAGTCTTCTACTAATCTATTTAAAGTTCAGGTCAAATTGCATGGAAGATAATAATATAATACATGTTGCATCCAGTAATATTAAAGGATATTATGATGTCTGACAATAATCTCTGTTCTTCTGTTGTTTATATGGTTTCTGAAAGAGCAAGCCCATTTAGAAAACTTGTTCAAGTGTAACTGAAAGCATAATTTTCAAACTCCAGTGCCAAAATCCCTAAGTCTTGTTGCATGCAGTACCATGGCTCAGCCCAGTGATGAATGTGTTCCTATGATACCTATAGGCATAACTGCATCAGTACAAACCATTCCTGCAAACAGGAGACATTGGTTTTGCTACATTAGCAACTAGCATCTGAAGGCTGTAATTGCAGCAAATCCTTGGACCAGATAGAGGCCTAGGAACCTAATCTACCACATTTTATTCCCTTTTTTGGCTAAAGAGTAGTTTATTATTTTGCCCTGTAGAATCCCTGGTATCAATTGGGGCCCATCATTCCTTTGAACTGTTGGACGTGAGTGGCAATAAATTTGTTTTGCACTATTTTTGATCTATCAGATTAGGCAGTAGCAACGTCACGCTCAGTAATTGTGTCAAATAAGTAAAGCATAAGGATCAGGCTGCCAGCCCTGGTTTCAGGAAGGGTGCCACAAAAAGCAAAAGTAGAATTGTAAGCTAACTCAAGTGGGAAGGGGCCTCAGGAGGTTTCTAGTCTAACCTCCTGCCCAAAGCAGGGCCAGCTCAGAGCTCAGACCAACTTATGGCTTTATCCAGTCAGGTCTTGAAAAATTGAAGAGGCTTCACAACCTTTTGAGGCAACTTGTTCCACTGTGTGACTGTATTCATGGTGGAAAAAAGTTTTCCTTCTGTCCTGTTTGACCCTATTTTGTTCAACCTACACCCTTTCTCACCGGAAGAGCCTGGCTGTCATCCTGACAACCTCCTCATAGGTATGAGCAGGCTGCTTATAGGTCCCTTGAAGCCTTCTCTTTTCCAAGCTGAACAAGCCCAGTTCCCTCAGTCTGTTATTGTAAGACATTTAACAATAACATCGTGTGGTGATGGTCACCAGACTCTCATCTCAAATGCTGCATCAAGAAAGAAAATTGTAAATGAAGATAATGTAAAGCAGGTAAAGGTGGAAGACCACCAAAATCTGTAACAACAAAGGACACTTAAAAAAAAATTGTATCTGTGGGACAATGCTACTGCTAACCTTACTGGCAAGGCTGTCCTTTTTCCCCTTGCTAATGTAACCTTGTATTTGTCATGTTGAAGGCAAATGCAGCTTACACTGTATCCTTAAACATGCACCACATAGATTTACCATCTTCTCCTATAGCCTCTTCTAAATGTGTAACTTAGTTGTATATCCTTACCTTGTGCTTAAAAATCTGTACAACACTGCAATGAATTAACACTGTATTTTTAGGTTTGAAAGTTTAATGTAAGTCATGTTAAACCCTTCACTGACATAGGTTGAGTCTGCTCTCTCATGACTTTATGACTAGCATAACTACTGGAATATTTTTTGATTCAGGTTAAATCACAGTGATTTTCAACAAATGTTTACAAGCACTGGGTGAAGTGGGAGAAGAACATCATGTAAGCACTCATCACTACATATTCTGTATTGGTTGGATATTGTTATTGTTGTAAGTTGTTGGGTGAGCAGTGCAAAATATTTACATATTGTTCTGAAGATTAAAGTTTGTAAGTCTTCTGTTTGGATAGTTCTAAAAACTTGTTAAATTATATTTTATGACCGTGTACATCTGAATGTGCTCCTAAATGTCCTACTTCATAAACACCATGGTTTTCTGAGTGAGCACCAGATACGTTTTCACGTTTATAAGCTTCTACCACATCACCTGGTATGTGGATAGTTGTGGATCATTGTGTTCCATTCTGCAGTTGTTAGTTCCCCATCACTGCTTGTTCAGCAGTTAACTGCTGAAGGTGACAGTTCCTGCAAGACTGCTCTGAAAATATTTTCTTCTTCCTGTGGCTGCATTTACAGTCCCTTACCTGTAGATATTTTTTTTTTTCCTAACCCTGCAGAGGGTTCTTCCCTGACAGATGTAGCTGAGAATGATTCTGGAGCTTGTTGTCCAGCATCTTCTCAAGAGAAGGGAAAAATAATTATATCCAACTTTTATTCTCTGTTTTTATTTAGTTACCTTCTATTCAGAAACATCCCTGAAGGAAGGATTTTTTCATCCCTCACCAGCTTCCCATGGTGACTGATTGCCTTTTTTACCCCCACAAATTTAGGGAATGTAGATCATTAGACCCTACTCTCTAGGGGATAAAGTTACCCTATAGCTATTACTATTTAGTCACTTTCTACTTACTAAAAACTTTTACTCTGGATAGAGTTCAAGAAGCATATTTCAGATTTCTGAGCAACTCCTAAATAATCACTCTGGCAGCTTCAAGGAAGAGTAAATTTTTATTGTAGAGGGGAATGAGGAGATTCAAATTAGTTATTTTGACATTCAGAAGAGATATTCAGAGAAAGAGCAAGGCACTTTAAGTTGAGCGTAGTATGAGCTAATAATCTGGCGGAGAGTTTTATTAAGGACAGCAATAATTTTCTCTGTAAATAAGCTGCAAAAGTCTATGAAAGCAATGCACTAATCTTTCAGCCACACATTCTCCCCACAGCAGTATGCTGGATGCCCAAAGCAATTCAGAATAACATCGGAGATCAAGACATGAATATACACTAAAAACATCAAGCATGCAAACTCTTACATATAACTTTGTCTTTGGATTTGGCACTTCAGCGCAAGCCCCTTTGAATACAGTTTGCATGTAGTTTTTACCTCATGAAGCGAAATCCTCAGGGAGTATGACTGAAATCACTACAGTGAAGGCACATAACCTACTTTGCAGCAACAGATATGTTCCCTGTTTTTGGAACATGTATTGTTCCATACAATTCCCATTTCCATTTACATACTTACAAAAAGAGCCAACCACGTGAGACAAAATTCATTAGAAAGACAGCTTCAACAGTTTTATAAGCTATTTGAAGGCTGATAACTCCAGACGATACTTGATGTTAACCCATTGTTTTCTTGTCTAGTATACTCAGGAAGTGAATATTCTATAACTTTGTGCAACTGACTGCGAATGCTGTGGGTTAAAAACTGATACCTGCCAGGGTCACCAATCAGCACTTCAGTTTGCTGTGTCCTGATGCATTTCCTCAGCCAGTGATGCAGACCATCAGCAAGTTGTTCATCATAAAACATATCTCCTAGAACAATGAGGTCCCAGTTGCCGGCCTCTGAATTAATGATGTTCTTAATGGTGATGGGGAAGGGATTCAGGTTGTTCAGTTCACAGTTCAAGATCATTGCCATTCCTGCAACTGAAGAAAAGTCAAAGTAAAATTAAAGTTACATTTTAGGATTCTGCCATTCATTTCAATTTCATCTCCTAAATATTTTTATTTATCCTATCTGGGGACTTCCACGGTTTTTATTATGGGTCAAAATCTGTCATAAAGTGATGGAATTTTATCCTCATTGCACCATGGCACAGGGAAGAACTATTTCTGGAATGGATACCAATGGAAACCAATCACAGAATCAACCTAGAATATCCAACTGCCTTAACGTATGGATATACTTTCTCCCTAATCAATCAGTGATTAAATTATTAATAAACTGAATTCATAAGACAATTATGGGAAAACAAAGTCTGGGAGAAAAAGTCAGAATCCAGGCCCCAACACATGAAAATGCAGGAAAATGCTATGGTCCTACAGAGAAGCCAACTTGGCACTTGTGCTTGGAGTTCTCTTCCAAACCAGCCCTGACAGTGTGTGGGCCACACTTGATAGAAACTTTGCATGTTGTTCATTCTAAGGAGCTATGGAGATGTACTCAGTGCAAGAGAGGCTGGTACAACCCAGCTTCTAATACTGGCAAAATCCATTCATCTTTTAGCATTCTTAGAACTCTGTTTGTAACCTGAATTTCTCCCAAATGGATCAAATAAAAGTCTATGTTAAATGTGCTTTAAAAATTAATAAATATCTTTACACAGCCATTAAGAAAAAGGCCTTACTAGGGTCAATGTCATTAGCAAGGACTTGCGATGCACCACTCATCACAGCAGCTATTGCTGTTGCTCCACATCCACTTCCAAGATCCAAAACCGATCGTCCTTTAACAATATGTGGATTATCTAAAATATACCTGAAAAGAAAAAACTGTTAAAGCAGTGAACAAGATTATGCAAATTTCTCAGTTTTGCATTACACTGCATATGAGGTTTTGTCATATGTATACTGAAAACACTCTTCCACACGTGCAGCTGGTACATAGCTCCTTATTTGTGTCTGCTGATGTAAAAATCAAGAACCATCATGTTTCTCCCTTACATCCCAAACCAAAAAGAAATCCAACCAAGTAAGCAACGTTTTATTTCAATCAGCAACATTTTATTTCATTCAGCTCCTTCTTTGACAGGTGAGCTTATCTAAAAAATGGACACAAACTGCAAGGTGACTAAAATGCTTGGCATCAGAAACAGAAGGTAAAGATTTGCATAAATTAAAAGCAATCTGAAGAAACGTGAAGATGTATTTGCAGTGAATATTGCACTCATCAGAAGACAAGGTTGTTGCCCTAAAATACTGCTTATGCAACTCCTTGGAAGAAGAGCAATTTATCTTTCTTTTCCTGAGCCATGCAGACACAGATGCAAATACTTCTAGTCTGCTTAATGTTGTTGGTGAGTAGCAACAAGAAAATGAGAATAGAGCAGCAGTAAGCAGAAAGAGTATCTTCATTTAGTTGCTGACACCTGCCAAGAGGAATCAGCAAGCAAAAACCTCTAGGCTGTAACTGGAGAACTGACAGAAGGCAAGCAGTGGTTATTGTTAAACACTAGGAATCATATAGCCATTACTAAGGGTTCAGAACTTCAACAATTCTCTTGAAATTCAATCTTCTGCAAAGGGAAAGGCCCTAAGCGACAATGGGAAGAGCCCTGGGTGACATAAATTACTGCAAATTGCCATAAATTTACTACCAATTGCCATAACTTCTGTTAGAGGAGAAACAGTAAAGGATTCTACATTTGTATTGTCTTCTGACATGGAGGGTGATGGCTGACTCTTCACACAGGGCTACTGGTAAGTAGAGCTTTTGCAGGTGTGTTCCAATGCAGAGAACTGTAATGGAAATGGTATGATTGGTGTAACTGGTGAATGGAGGGAGGGAAATGTCTAGGCCTAGAAGCACCAAAAAAAAGGCCTAATAAGGGTGTTAAGTGCTAATGGCACCTAAATCCCATCACATCGGTATACGGATTCCCAGGAACCCAAACTGAGAGAACAAAGACAGCCTACCCTCAAACTAAACAGTTCAAGCCATTAAGAGACCATAGCAGGAAGGTTGAGACCAGGACTGAAGATACAAAATACCCAGATCAGACACCCAGGAGACACGAAGAGGGCTTGACATCCCATGCCTCTTGTCCTACATGTCATCACAAGGAATCCTACCAGACAGCTTGGACATGCACAACTTGGTGCTTTTTAATAGGTGGTTACGTATTTGCTACTTTGAGCAGACACACTTTTCTGAGGGCACCCACTCAGGACATTTGTGCAGAGGCTCAGCAACTCGGCTGTTTGGCAACACTCCCCCCTGAGGCCACCACTCCTCTGAGGACAGCCCCTAGTTTAGGACAGGACAGAGGACAGGGGTGGGCCCTCCACAGAAAGTGCTGAGTTTCCCCGTTGTAGGGGCTATGCTTAGATTTGCAATGACTTTCCCCCAGTAACTTGTGCAGAACATGACCTGGCCTAATGCTGCAAGTGCCCTGTTTGCAGCGGAATGGTTCTCAAATTACCACTAATGATGGTGGTGACGTAGGAGAGCTGGAACCAACTGTATCCCCTGGCACATACACTGTGTATTACGCTGTATGCTGCTGTTGGGGACTGCTCTCTGCCATGCTGTGTTAATGGGGTATCTTAGGTTACACCAAGAGGAATAGCTTGAAACAGGAGACTCCAGATGTTGTGGAAATGCCGACTGTGAAACGAGCACAGTTACAGAAGCAGCATGTTTTCATGCTCCCTTTTTCTTTTTTACTTTCCCAGATTATCCAGTTAATTTCTGACATTCCCAATACATCAAATAAATGCATAAACAATAAGTCCATAAAGTGGTGAAATGCCAAATAATTATTATTGCTACCCAAATATCTGGACATATGAATCATACCATAGCAAAATGTAGACATTACCTTACCTAATTTAATTATACAATGTTTAGGAGGACTCTAGTTCATCTACATGGCAGTACATCATCAACTTGCAATTTAACTGTAAGATCCATATTTTTCCTGGTCAAAAATGCCTTCCTGTTTATGCTTTCTTGCAGAAAAACAGCAAAGCCCCAGTTCAGATCCTTCCCTTTCATCTATGTGGGGAATGTCTGACAGCTTGCTCTTTGCTGTAACAATTATGAACTTGTTCTGCTGTTTAAAGTGAGAGATTTGATTTTATAGAATAAAAGAACTCTAACTAGTTCCTGGGAATCAGGAACATTAAAGACATTTTGACAGCAAGTGGCCAAAATCAAAATGTGACTTCTGATATGACTAAAAGGCAGCCACAATAAAGCTGCTGAAATCCTAAGTGAAGAGAGTGATTCAGGCTAAACAGCACTCCAAGTGAATCAGCATAAATTTACTTTTCTCAACAGACCAGACACACATCCACACTCCTGTCTGTCTTCTACAGAATAAACCCTCATGTGTTACAACAAAATAGCAATCCTCCTGTTTGGAGTGACAATGACTTATAGAATTAAATACCTCGCTAGGTTTTGATGGCAACTGCACAGCCCTTCCACAGATCCAAATTAAGCCTCATTGTCAACCCAAACATCGCCACTGAAGACAACAGATTTCAACTGAAGAGCCATAAATTATTCTATATACAGCAGGTGCTGAACCTTCACTGCCAGCCAGCAGAGATTACGTCTCTCCTGTGTAAGCAGAGAGGAGTATGGATAATGTGCTCTCATAGAAGGCAAATATACATTGCTAGGAATCACTACAGAGCCAGGTCTGACATCCTGGCCCGCAGCAGACTGGACTTACCAACTTTGGTGACTCTACTGCATACCTGGAGAGAGCTTGGCCTCCTGGCCAGTAAATTGCCCAAAATGGGTCCCCATAAGGCCACAGGTCAGGTTTTTCCCTCCAGAACCTGCAGTGAGGGGTGAGGAGGCGCAGTCGTATCTCTGGTGTGAGGTGCCCGCTGCTGGTGACCTCTGTGTTCTCCTCCAAAAACGCTCTCACCTCAGGGTCCAGAGACTTGCCGGCACTCCAATGGCAGCAGCGCTGCCAGCGCAGAGAGGGGCCTCTTCTCCTGCTCCTCCAAGCCTTGGCAAAGGTGTTTGACCTGCCCAAGAGGTGGAGCCACTTCCAGCTGCAGAAGGCCATGTCTTCACAGGGACAAACCGTCCCCAGGAGAGCTCAGAGTTCAGTTTATCTGAAGCAGGTGATGAGGCAGAAAGCTTGAAACAAACTCACAGGATGTTGGTTTTCATAGCAATGGATGACAGTTCCTGAAAGGAGAACAATGCTACGTAAGTGATGTTTCTTCAGTGACTTCAAGCCTGTGCACCACCGGGGCTTTAGGAAGAGGAGGTCAACCTGCTGCTATGTGACCACAAATGCGTGCCTTGCCCTTACCCAGAGAGCCTTTGAAGTCTGAGAGAAGTGGTATTTAAGGAAGAAGCTATCAAGAGACCTGTTCAGGAGAGTGCTATAAATATATCCCGTGAGAAACAACCAGTTAGCAGGACAACTGATAGACATGAAAATTACATGTGCAGCCTTTTAACATCTCTGTCCCTCTGCCTTGAAGATACACACACAGCAAGCTACTCCTGTTTAAGGTTCTTCCATTGAATCTTAAGATTTTGCAGTAGGTCTCTGGGCCTATGGGCATAGCAAACATAGCAAAGGTTATCAGTAGGTTGAGAGATGCCATTAATTACAAGTTTTATAACGGTGATAGGTCTTTTATATAAAAGCATCTTCTTAAAGTCAAGCGATTAAAGGATTTCCTCAAAAGACTTTCCTCTCTCTCCCTCAGATTTGTCAGGCTGCCAGCTCCAGATGAAAAAAAAATCCCCAAGAATTGATCTTAATCAGAATACCCCCAATTTGTTGCATTTCAGTCCATGTTTTAAAAGGATTGGTTAGTCTTATGGTGCAAAAGTCGCATGTGGATGCTCTCACCTGTAGAAGAAAGTAGACCTCCACCACTGTAGCCCACTCCCTGTGAGAAACTACATAAACATGCTCCAAGCTGTCCAAAGAGAGAGAAACTGAATCCAACACATTTTTAAAAATTAAGTTTTTAAAAGGTGAGACATTCAGACTGGATGAGCTCACACTCAAAGACCTTCTGACACCACTCAAGGCCAGTTTTCAGGTCACAAACCATGGAGAAAAGGAGAATGGAAGATTGGTACATCAGAGTTTAGACTCATTTAAGAATCAGAATGGAGAGTGGAGAGCCACAGCACTCAGATGAGAGCCGAATGAAGAAAAGCCTGTCAGCCCTTCATCACCATCACCATATTCTCCTCATCCATCACTTCTTGCAGACCCTAGGTCTTTCTTACGCTGATCCTGTGACTATTCTTAACCAAGCAGTGGCCTGAAAAGAGAGAAACTGCTTTCCTGCCTTCCTGCTCAGATCTCCTCCCTTCATCCATCCACTACTGTTTCCATATCTTTTTTCCTTCCTCATCTTGTTCTCCGATTTCTTTTCATCAACTTGGACTTACTTGCTTCAGGGCACAGCTTTTGAGCCTCCCCCTAAGCTGATGACCAGAGAAGCATTTAAGACCTGTGCTTCCACAACAGCAAGACTACAAGTAGTAACAGACACAAGAGAAACTGCACTCTCTATTTTGTGATTGTGTTTTATTTTCTGCAGTGGTTTTCATGAAAAAGCAGAATGATGCATGAAGAAAATCAACTTTAGCCCATCCCTGCCAATTTTTCACTACAGAAGAATTATGGCCAGTTTTGCCATCCAGAGCTGCGCAGGTTGTCCTTTAAAAAAGCCTAGACAAAGGGACAACAGGAAAAATATGCTAATAAACCAAAATCTTAACACTTCATATTTCAGTACTTTAGTTTTTCTTTATTTGTCTGTATCTTTAGTAAAAGTTCATTAGTGGCATTTTTACTAAATGTTTAGTGGCATTTTTGTTGTGCGCTGGCTTTAGGTACTGGATTTAGTTTGATCACTTAAATGTTAAGCTGTGAACTTCCCTCCCATAACACTTTGCTTTTTAGGCTGATAGTCCTCTTAAGTTTTTGTTTACATCATTGGCTAAAGGCTTTGTGGTTTTATTTCAGATAAATACATGTGACTGAACAGTTTGCACTTTTCCACATTTGAAACTGTCAATCATCAGAGTCCATGTAATTAATGAATGTCATTAATGAATTCCTTCCTTCCTGAAGGCAGAGCTATATAATCCCCATCTGCCTTAGGGAAGCCTGAAGTCAATCAATCAGAGATACAAATCTTGTCAGCTAATGCTGTATGCCGGGTTTTCCCCATGAATTGCTGCAAATTAGCAGGGCTGAGATTTGCTAGTGGATATTTTGCATTGCCTGTCATGATAGTTACTCTTTTTAAAGTAATTGTCGGTAGAGAAATATCTGCCAAGAGCCCTGCGCTCAAAATGCCAAACCCAGCTTAAGCATTTAGCGCAGGAAGGCGTCAGGATAGATGCCTTTGTGCCTGACACTCCTGGCCTTCCCATCTTGGGGATAAAATCAGTGGGCAAGAAGAACTTGGAAAAGGGGACAAAACCAAAACCAAGCAAAATCCCCCCACAGACCAAAAAAAAAAAAAAAAAGCAGCAATTCACATGCAATTTAAGATTGTAGGTTTTTTTGGTTGGTTGGTTGGTTGGTTTGTTTGTAAAGCAGCAGGTGCCTTTGAAAGCGTAACCACGTTTCCCACTGGAGGAAGCCAGATCTAACCAAGGCCCCAAGCTGCTCGCCTGGGCCCGGAGTACAAGGGACACCGGGGCAGGCCAGCA